CCAAATTCTCTTTCTTTCATGACTATTCTCAACATCACCTCCAAACTGGTTACTTTGTCTCCAGTATTCCCACACTAATAAGACAATAGCTTATGGTAAGTTTGTTAAAATAGAAATAGAAATATAGAAATAGAAAATAGAAAATTCAGAATTCATTGGAATTCTTTAACTTTCTAAAACTCATGAACATTATAGTAAACATATCTTTAAGACATAAATCCCAGGGCTGGAGAGATGGCTCAGTGGTTATGAGCACTTGTTGCTCTTGCAGAGGATCTGGGTTCAATTCCCAGCACTCATATGGCCACTAACAAGCATCTGTAACTCCAGTTCCAGATGTGATGCCCTCTCCCGGCTTTTGGAATACTGCATGCACATGATGCACAGCCATACACATAGGCAAAGTACCCATACACACAAAATAAAAATAAACAACTCTTAAAATAAAAGTAAATCTCAAGGGAAAAGATACTTAATTAGGTGGCAAACAATTAATGTTGAAAATTGGAAAGGAAAGAGAGAAGTGGCAAATGGCAGAGAAATGTAACAGCTGGTTTCTCTCGCAGAAGCCAGCCTGTTTCACAAATGCAGAACTAGAACCTTCTGACTTCCACAGTGCTATATTCCTTTGGAAGAGGGCTAAAGGCAATATCAAGAGGAAAGATGGGTTTAAAATGCGATGAAGAAAAAATACAGCATGTTCCTCTCCTTCCCTACTTTGGGCAGCTGGGCCAATGTGCTCCCTAACACCAGGAACAGCTAAAAATTTCATTGGAGATAATTATCTGGCTCTCATTGACTGGGGATATCTGGTATACCACATTGAAAGTGAGACGATTGAGATATTGCATATCCTGATTTCTGAGTTCACAAATTAGCTGGATATAAGAATATAGTCAGCTCGACTTGCAACATGAAACATGGGAGTGAGTCGTCTTTCCCGCATCTGATGGAAAAGCAGACAAAATAGGTCCCAAGTATTAATGACCAAGTGTCTCAGCCGAGAATCCTTAAGGAAAACCTAGTAGGCAAAGGCAGCCCATGAACTCAGACTTCCCACCAAAAGTCTGTATTTCTCCTTCCTCAATCTATTTCAACTGCTAACAGATCACATGGGACAAAACTTAGCATGGAAAACAAACCTAATAGCCAAACAAATGGAAACACATGAACTATGAACTAATGGCTGAGGGGTCACCAACTGGATCAGGCCCTCTGAATGGGTGAGATAGTCGATTGGCTTGATCTGTTTGGGAGGCATCCAGGCAGTGGGACCGGGTCCTGTGCTCATTGCATGAGTTGGCTGTTTGAAACCTGGGCCTATACAGGATCGCTTGGCTTGGCCTGGGAGGAGGGGACTGGACCTACCTGGACTGAGTCTACCAGGTTGATCTCAGTCCGCGGGGGAGGCTTTGCCCTGGAGGAGATGCGAATGGGTGGTGTCTGGGGGGAAGGTGAGGGGAGTCGAAGGGGGGAGAACAAGGGAATCCGTGGCTGATATGTAGAACTGAATTGTATTGCAAAATAAAAATAAAAATTAAAAAAAATCATTAATATCTTTGTGTGAGTAAGAAAATATATTATCATTTTAAAATGGTATAATCTAAACATGAAGTTGATGAAAAATAAAATATTTTGAAAACTGAAATGCTCAAGCAAAAATGGAAGCTACAACCATGACCAGGAGGCTAAAGATGAAAGCCACAGGACTCTGCTAGAGAGCAGAGAGAAAGAAGAAAGTGTGTAAAACAGTTGTGAAAGTTATAAAAATTAGAGAAATAGTCTAAATAGCAATACATTCAAAAAGAAAGAAAACACTGAAAGGTGTCCTGCTATATCTCTCATGTTTCCCACGTGGAAGCCAGCAGCAGTGGTACCCCGCCCCCCGACATGTTTCCTATCAGTGGTACCCAGTGTCCAGTGCTGTGTATGAAAATAAACGGACAAGTCTCATCTCAGAAAATTCAAAACAGCACAGCTTAGTGAGGGAAAAAAAACACCACTTCGAATAGCTGCCCTGGAATGAGAGAAGGACAGGAGGTATCCATCTAAAAAATCAGAACTTACCAATGTAAGTGTGACCTAGAGGTAAGCCAACAAACTAAACATCTGAAGTTAGATGTGTGAACATGTCTTCCACAAAGCAGAAGGAAGTGGGCTGGAGAATTATTGTTTTCTGAGTCTAATAAGTTATTTCCCGCTGCAAACTATGTCCACATGTAACTTCTTTGAAATGAAGGGAAAAGGAAGCTCAGATCACCCATCCCGTAGCTCATCTTGCACAGCATATGAAGTAAAGTCACCTTATTTTCCAAACATCAGTGCCTCCCCTGTAGAATTCCTTGTTCTGACAGATAAGGTCATCTAAAAACGTGGTTCCATAGCTCTCTTTTCCTTAAGCTAAGTCCTTTGTTCAGGATAGAATGATTTCGTTAACCTAAAATAGAAGAAGGCAATCAGCTTTCGTTATTCTCACCTTACAACATGGAACAACGTTCTGCTCTTTCTCACCAACATCCAACAGGTATTATTAGCTCCCTTTGAAATCGTCTGAGTGTATCCTCTAATGTAGCTGATTACTTCACTCTCAAATCCTCACGTCTGCTGGTTCTATTTATGACTGTCACGTAGATGCCTGGCACTCCTTCTGTGTCCAAACAGGATTTGAAAGTATGCACACTATAATTTCCAAACCGTTATTCATGAATCAGGAGTAAATTAATGAATAGATTGCTACACAACACTACCCTCATGAATCAATGTGCACTTGCATGCACAAACCCAGTAAGTACAAGGCAAAAATTGAATTCAAATTCATTAAAGTTTTGGAATTATTATATACCTTTTCAGTTTTAAATAAATAGTTACTCTCAAATAGGTATTTTTCAGTCTTTATTTTAATATTTGAGAACTTCATATATAAGTATATTATATCTATAACATTTCTATCCGTCCTTTTCCCTCTCCAGCGCCTCTCATGTTCCCACCACCACCACTCCCTCACAATTTTATTACCTCTTTTTCTATAATTACTGTAGTTACACATTTATACAGCCTATTGAATCCAGTTGGTATTGTCATATGTACATGTGTTTTGGGCTGACCACTTAGGATTGGGAGCAAACTGATTCGCTCTCCCTCAGTAGCCCTCAGTAGTCATGTCTGGAAGATACTATCTCCCAGCAGCTTTCCTGGTCTCCTGGATCCTACGATCTTGCTGCCCCGTCTTCCACAACGTTCCCCAGGCATTCGGCATAGGAATTACTTTCTAGATGTCTCTGCTGGGGCTGGGCATTCCACAATCTTTTAAACATTTATTCTCTGTCTTTTGACTAGTTCTGGATCCTTGTAATAGCCTCTGATTGATGCAAAAAGAATATTCTTTGATGAGAGTGAGAGCTACACTTTTCCGTGGGTATAAGGATAAATATTCAGAATAGATAAGTATTTAGAATTAGAAACAGTATTGATTTGGGGAAATGATAGTAGGAGGTTCTCCTCTATGGTCCCTGACTTCTAGCCACTGCTTGTTGGTTTATTTTAAGCAAGCAGAAGTTACCTTCAGTCCAAATAGTTGTTAGTTATCCCCAAAATGTAAGTGCCACTGTTATATCAAGGACATCTTGCAAGGCCAGCTATTGCTATGGTTCACAAGCTTTATGACTGGATAGGACTAGTGATAAAGCTGATAAAATTGGCAACTTGAATAGCATCTTTCAAGAGTATGAGAGCTAACCTTAGGGAGGCAGCTTCCAGGTCACTACAGCTCCAATCCTCAAAGTACTATGACCAAAGTATATGGTGTCTTTTGCTATGGGGCTTTATCCCCAAGCTCTGGGAAGCAACCAAGTAGAATGGCTGTAGTTTATATTATTTTGACATGGTCCCTTGGATTCTGCTTACCAACAACTTGAAGGGTGGGTCTCATGTGTGACGATGGAGTTTCCTGTTCTCAAGGAATTATAAACCCATTTTTAAAGCTTTATTATATATTTATGCATTCATTTATTTATGTTGTTGGGATGCACGCATTTGCTATGGTACACATGTGGAAATCAGTTGGCTGCTTGCAAGAATCAATTCTCTCCTTCCTCCAAACAGGATCTTGGGATTGAACTCAGATTGTCTGGATCAGCAGCAAATGCTTTTACTAGCTTCAGTCATCTCTCTAACCCCAAAACATATACATATTTGAAATGATTCCCTGATTAAAGCTTTTAGAATCATCTACAGTAATGAACTATTAAAATGTAGCTGAAATTGATGAACATTAGTAATTATTGTGTTTTTAGAGTGCTTTTGTGGGGCAATGTTTAGAGTGAGGAGATGCTTTAAAATTCCATTTACAAGTCCTTTTGTAGCTAAGAAAGAAAATCAAAGCATCCACTGTCAAACTCGAGTGAAATTACTGATATCTAACCACTGGAGCACTCACAGAATTCTTCTGGAGGAGCCACTTGCCAGAGAGAATATTTTGCTCAGTCTTAGTGACCATCTGGGACCTTGGCCTCTCTTATCCTCTTCTCTGAAACAAACCTCAAACATTCTGGGTCAATCTCATTTACTGTCTCAGCCAACGAGCATGCCTCTCTACCCACCACACACACCCACAGTCCAAAATAGACTTCCTCCCTATGCTTTGGAATTATGTAAATCTCTTATCCATTGTGTTCTGTCACTTACAATGTGCTTTACTTCAACAGAGGGGTGAAAATTGCGTGTATTTTAACCAAAATTCATCCAAATAAACCTTAGGAAGAAATTTTAAATATTTTATTATTAAATTATTAACTGCTGCTGAACTAACGTCAATGGATGAGGCAACACTATTATACTTATGGGTTATCGAGAGTAATCTACAGAAAGACTAGGATGAAAATACCTGTATGTCATAAATTCAGAAGGCTGCGTCTTCCCTGCTCAGCATGGTGTTTCTCAGAGAATTCTCAGCCATTGAGTTACTGTAGCGTCCATTATAAACATCATATAAAACTCAGAGGTAGATTCTTTACTGGAGTTTTATTTCTTGAGAAAAAATAAATATTTTACTTTTTGTTAGAAATCACTGCATCATAAATGAGTTTCTCAGGCTTAGGTTTGTAGCTAAGAAATAGAGTCTTGGCCTACCATGCTTAATGCCCAGGTTCAATTTCCAGCATTACAAAAATAATGAAAATAAATGGCCTCAATATTCTTACTAAAAATAGATAAGGAATGAGGTCATCATAATGAAGGCACTTCCTGAAGGTCATGGAAAACCAGGACTGTCCTGGTACCCTAGCATCCCAGTAGCTTTTTCCTCTCAGAAGGCAATGCCTACTGTCTGTCTATCTATCTATCTATCTATCTATCTATCTATCTATCTATCTATCTATCTATCTATCCATCCATCCATCTATTCATCCATCCATCCATCTATCTATCTATCTTTTTTTCTGAGCCAGTCAGAAAAAGAAAACTAGAGTAGTGTTTTGAAGAAGAGGAAGAAATGTGAAACAGTTTGTCTATGATAACAACTAAACCACTCACAGCTTTCAGCCAGCCTCACTCCACAGTCAGCCTGTATAGGGATTGTAGAATTAACCACTACAACAAAGAACCACTGAGGTGAAATCATGCAGTCACAAAGCCAAACAGCTCAAAAGTTAACTTCCTGTGGGCAAAAGGAAATGCTTGAGTCAGCTCAACATGCCAAATCAGTATCACATCATAACCTAGAAGTAGTCATGAAACATGCAGCCTTAGGTCTGCATATAATTTTGGAGAGCAACTCGCATGTCATGTTAGCCCCATAAGGAAAGCAGGGCTGACAGAAGTCAGGTGTTCTGTCCGACATCAGAATTTCAGTACTGGAAAGAGACCCAGCTTTGAAAATCCCTCTCTGATTTCCTCTTCACTAGAGTTAACTTTTCATGTTAAAAAAAATTGGAAATATGCAGGATCCATGAGTCAGAACTTTTGGATGCTTCACAGTAAGAAACAATGACTTCTGAGTTAGACGAAATATCCAGGTTCTTTTGTGAGAGATATTACTATGTGCTAAGGCCTTGACACTGCAGGGAACAGAGGTAGAGTCTGTGAGGGAGCTGACAGAAACATTGGTCGAGTTCCTTGTTCCTCTGCAATTTCAGAATAACTGGGGAAAGGGGGATGTCCACAAAACGTGCCACTCAATCTTACAAAGAATGCTGGGAAAGTCAGTTGCTCTTTATGTGAACTATGTACTCGTGTCTCTCTTTCAATGATCCACATCCAACGTTTTCACATTGTTAGCTCATTTAAACTGGAGGATCTCCTGCAAGGGCTGGAACAGTTTCTATCATTACAGCATTTCTGGGTTATTTCAGCTTTTAATCGAAACCATGACATTTACATTTCTCAGTATTTATGAAATAATTTTTCATGATAAAAACCCCAGGAACAAGCTTTCTAAGAACAAATAACACAAAGTTTAGGCAAAGTCCTCCAAGAATCAAAAGATAAAACCAGATAGCCATAAACATATTTACATGTCCAGCAAAGTCTTGATATCAAGGCTGTTATTGATTGAGCTAGAAAAGAAAATACAGGCTGTCATTAAGAAAGATTAATCTAGTGAAATTAACAAAATACTGAACCAATTAGAAGGCATGTGATTTTTACACGGAGGCCAAGAAATCATGGAATTTAGCACCTATTACAGATTCGTATCTTTTACAGTTTAAAATTACAGTTTTGTTTGTGTCCGTATTCATGTTCGTGTGTGTGTGTGTGTGTGTGTGTGTGCATGTGTGTGTGTGTGTGTGTATGTGTGTGTGTGTATACATGTGTGCCATGGTGCACTTGTAGCGTTCAGAGCACAACTTGCCAAGTAGGTTCTCTCCTTCCACCATGTGGGCCCCAGCGTTGAATACAAGTCATCAGAACTTGATGGCAAATGCTTCACCTCCTAAACTACCCCACTGGCCCTTGATTGACACACTTTTCCTCAAAAACTCTTACCATGCCATAAACAAAAGAATTTTCTTTTATATACAGAAATGAAATAATAATAGTTAAATGGCTAAAATATTCAGATTCACTACTTGGACTTACAGAATTAGACAGAGTGTTCTCCCAGTAGAGAACCCGAGTAGAGAACAGATTGGCATTACAAAGAAAATAAAATTGAAAAGCTGTAATTGTCAAAACCTTTAAAAATTTTTGTTCCTAATGGGCTGGAGAGATGGCTCAGCAGTCAAGAACATCGGATGCTCTTCCTGAGGACCCAGGTTCTATTCTTAGCACCCACATGGTGGCTCATAACCATCTGTAACTCCAGATCCAGGGAATCCAATGCACTCATTTGGTCTCTGTAGTTACCAGGCATGCATGTGGTATACAGACATACATGGAGGCAAAACACTCATACACGTGAACTAATTATTTAATTAAATTAAATAAAATAATGTATGACAAATTCTTAGAATGCGTAAGGAAAATGTCAATAGATTTCCTGGACAGAAATGTTTCTGTAGTTAAGAGATTCTGACAGCTTGTTGACAAGCCTGTTCATTTAAATTTCCTAAGCCTTGGGTGAACATGTCTTGTTGGCAAAAGCCATTGATCACTGACCCACTTCATAGCCAGGAGATTGCCATGCTGTTACCAGAGAAAGAATAGCTAGACACTAGAGAAAAGATATCTAGAGACTCTGTAGAGACCTTACCAGACTGATGTGGCAGGAATATAAGGACTTGGAACCACAGGGAATTCAGTAAGTCCAAATGATTCTACAACACAGTATTAAGCATCTATGCATATACACACATAAATACAAATTAGTAAATAAAACCTTTTAAAGAAAGCAAATAAACCCTACTACTATTAATATTACATCTTTGCTTTAAAACATACAAAAATATGAAGCTTAGAGTTGATTTTCATAACAATAACATATCTATTCAGCCAGCCAGTTATGGCATCTAGTATCAGTTACCATCATTGTGGCTTTCACTTCACTGGCCTGTGCTGTTTTCTTTTGTTTAACAATGTACAACACATCCACCATCTTCCCACTGCCAACTGTCAGCCACTCAATGAAACAGGTTCTGCTTTCATTTATCAGCCTGGTAGAATGTCCATTGCAATCATGCTTTGTAGAATAAATGAAGAAACTATGATCATTTCCTAGATGTATATATAAACAGTGTAAGAGTTCAGCAAAATGATCACCCATTTTGTTTGCAGCTCATGCCAGGCAATATAAAAATCTAAGTAGTCCTCCATAATACCAAGCTGAAAATACGCTAGACTGACCCCAGGCTTGAAGCATCTTCTTTCAACATCTTAGATGTTATCCAGAAATTCAAGACACATCTCTTAAAGTGGTTTGTTTAAATTCTGCTACCCTTTACCAAAACTCTGTTAAATAATATACAGTCACCATCAAAATCCTGTACTATGTCTTAGAAAATATCAGATTCTAAATTTATGATTAATTGTCCTTATATTTAATTTAATGGCACTTTAACTTGCTACTCAGTGTTTGGAGACACACAGAGAATTAGTTACTGGAAGCATGAGCTCACAGCTCAGAACAAATGTTTCTCTCGGTGCTGGGGGTGAGAATGAGGTCATTTCAATCAGCTGTGATGTCTTTACCTCACTTGCTTAGGTTTTGTCCATGTTGCCCAATAGGTCTCTAAACTGCTGAATGCCTCATACTTACCACATACTACTTTCCCCAAACTGATGCATGTCTTATATTCAGATTTTTGTCACAAAACATATTGCTCCTTCTTGGCCTGAATAAAAACTAAAGATGTTAAGCAGATATTTGAGGCAGATTCTTGTCTTCAAGAATTAATAGACACCCACTTCTCTGTCAGAAGCACAAGTCTCTAAGACCTTAATGTTGACTTAAAACTCAGTCAGATCAAGACCCTCTGAAGATTATCAGAATCTTATATCCACATTGTAGCTAGAGTTTTCCTGCCTGGCCCACAGTCAGGACAATTCTCTCTCACCTGCTCAAACCCAACCAAGTAAACACACAGAGATTTAATATTACTTATAAACTGTATGGCCGTGGCAGGCTTCTTGCTAACTGTACTTATATCTTAAATCAACCCATTTCTATTAATTTATAAGTTGCCACGTGGCTTGTGGCTTACCAGTATCTTAACATTTTCTCATGGTGGCTGGCAACGTCTCTCTGCCTCAGCCTTCCACTTCCCAGAATTCTCTTCTCTGTGTGTCCCGCCTATACTTCCTACCTGGCTACTGGCCAATCAGCATTTTATTTATATAGAGTGATATCCACAGCACCACATACTTCTTCCCCAGGCACCAGCTCAAATGCCACTTTATTTCCGGAGTCCCCCAACAAACTACAAGTAGAAAAATGAAGAATTGGAGGCATAAGTCAAAGTGACCAAGAAATAGTAGAAGTTTCTTAGAAAATGATGTTGTACTTTAAAATGTGCATGTGTTAATTCTTTTATTTTAATGTATATGTAATATTTTCATAAACATAAATAAAACTGTTCCTAGTTTTCTCAGTGGTTGGTGGGTGAAGTGATGCTATATCAGGTCTGATTGCTCATGATGCTGAGCATCTCAGCCATTCAGCATTCAGGCACCACTACTTCCTTGACTGGGTACCACTCTACTCAATTCCATATTCACAGAGATGTGTGGATACAAGTAACAACTATTTCCTTACTATTGTTTGAGCTATTGCACAGAAACTATCTGCAGTGCTACATGCAGATTTCTATTGAAGAAATGGCACAGAGCTTAGCACCCTATCACCATATCTTACTAGAAGGCCAAATCATATGTGCCTTAGTATGATATTGTCCTGTGGTGACATATTCTCTTCTACCTCAAGGACATATTTATCAAAGCACTGTTTCCAGGAAAGAAGAGACTTATAATTATGTTGCATAATTCTGAAATGTTTATCAGTTTTAAGTAAATTGGGACCCTTAAAACTCATAGTCCCCGCATCTATTTCCTTCATTCAACTTCATTCAAA